CCTTGATGGCCACTCAATACTTGAAGTCGACATCAGCGCAATGGCAGAAAAACAGTGGCGGCTTCCCGGGGCTGATATCAGCGATTGGTTCAACTATGGATTCGATGAAATCTCTTGGGAAGCATACTGCTACAGAAGACGGGACTTGGGCGAACTTGCAAATGTCCTCAAGACCAACGTACTCGTACGATATATAGTGATTTGTTTGGTCCATAGTCCTTACTTTTCTCCTAGAATTTCGCAGCCATGCCAGAAGATCAGCTAATAGCCTTACCCCCTGAACTCCGTACGATGGTCATGACGGGCGCCAACGCCATGATGAACACTGCTAGCCAGGGCATGATGGGACCAAGCGTCGGGATGAATCCCATGATGGAAATGCCCGGTATGGGACCTATGAACATGGGACCGATGGGCATGGGCATGAATGGCGATATGGGTATGCAGATGCAACCGGGGGGCCCGTTGATGCCAGATGGCCCCGTCCCCGGCCAGGGTCCAGTAGGGCAGAACGGCACGCCGGAGCAGGGTGTGCAGATGGGCATGCAGGACGGCTTCGGGCCGGGAATGATGGGCATGGGTGGTGACTTTGGTATGCAGGTATGGGTTAACCCTTCCTACTCTAGATACGTACAGCAAATGATATGAACATCGCATGAATGTGTTTGTTTTTCTAAGCAGGAGCAAGGACCGATGGGGCAGCCTATGTATCCCAACATGGAGGGCAGTGCGACACCGGCACCAGTCCCTGTGCAGACGCCAGTGCCTACGCCAGCTCCTACAGCGCCTGCGCACATGGGCCGTGGGGCACCCCCAGCACAATTCAGAGGTCGTGCAATGGCTCAAGGCCTACGCGGAAGAGGATTTGCTGGACGGGGACGAGGAGGATATGGCGGGGGTGGGTTGTCTAATATAGTTATTCCCGGTGTATTAACCCATCATCGTAGCTCCAGTAGGGCCTGTCCGCCCAGCCTCGCCGTTACCGCCCGGCGTGCCAACCGGTCCCCGCAACCAGAATAGGTACAAAGACAGAGATAACAATGCACCTGCAGTCGAAGGTCTTGACTATGGGGGCACGATAAAGGACGTCGGAGGAAGGACGCCGTCAGGGGAACCAGAAGATCGCCTTGGCCGGTGAGTGGATTTGCATTCATCCATGACCTCAACGCTCACATTTCCTGTAGGAAGCGGCGCCTTTCACCAGGTTTGGATGATACTCGGGGATCTAAAAGGCGCTGAGACGCGCACATATGTATACGTTCTCATTATTGTATCTCACTCTTGACATTGTGCACACTGTTAATGCTGTCGTGAAGGTTATTGCTGACATTGGTTGTAAGCTGACGATTGAAGGCTAGTGATAAGTAAGGCATCAAGTAACTTGTTTATAGTACAAAGCTTATCAGTCTTTATGAAACCTACAGCCATTCCTTGTTTCCTTTATGTGAGATGAACGCACCAGTGTCATCGATGGTGATCCGATTGATGACCTCGAGCTGCATTCGGACAGATGCCTCTGGGGTAATTGGCCCCGTGAAATCGGGGTAAACCTTTCTGAATTTCTCAACCATCGCCTTGAACTGCTCCAGTTCCTTTTTAGTAGCTAGATCAGCAGTAATCAGCTGTGCATAACCTAGAAGATATCGCAAAAACTTACGGGCCCTGGTGCTAGTGTCCACAAGTCCCGGGCTAATCGCCAAGAAGACGAAGCCCTCTGACTTGTATTGAGCAGCATACTTGACATTGACCATATTTACCGCGGCTTTCGAGATGGAGTATGGTCCAGACGTGACCAATTCAGCGGCCATCGTCATATCAAGGTCTCCCAATCCACTAGTGACAGTGACCACCTTCTTTGCTTTCCCGTTCTTGAGTAGCGGGAGGAAAATGTTGATGGTGTGGATGATACCGACGACGTTGATGTTGAACTACAGAGGTCCATTAGCTTTACCGCCATCGCATACGAAGGGATTTGGTTGCATACCGAATCCAGGAGATCCTTAGTGAGCAACTCTTCTGAGGAACTAAATACGACTCAGTGCCATTCCGAGAATGCAAAGCAGAGAAAAATCTTACTATGCATCGAGAGTCAATCCATCCCTCTCAGCCTCTACGAACCCAGCATTATTGATCAAGTAGTCAAGCGAGTTGCCTCCTAGTCGAGAAACCTCTGCAGCAGCGTACTGGACAAAACGTCAATTTAGCCCCTATTCAAGGTGTCAGGCACCCACCTTCAAAGCCTTGTTATCAGTGATATCGGCCTCGATAATGTGAACATTATGCCTTCCCAGCCCCTTAAGCCTGTTCGCAGTGGCCTCATTGCGTACAAGGGCGAAAACGGTGTTCCCAGAATCAGTGGAGAGTTGATTGACAAATTCAAACTGGTTGAATTCAAAACGTCGTCAGAAACGTAGTATGATAGTCGATCAAGCTGCACGTACACCAATCCCCCGGGCTGCACCTGTTATGGCATATGACGGCATCTTTGCTGGTTTAGATTGATGTGACTGGAAAGAACTGAAGAGATAGATCTTGGTGTAGCCCTTCGTAAGTTTTGTGACGAACTTTTATACCCCAGTACGTGCACTCTGTCTACCTCACCGAGATTTCCGGGATTATGATCGTTAATGTCAGCATATCAGCAGCTGTGTCAGCATGTCAGCAGATGAGTCAGGGGGCGCACGCCCAGTTCGCGTGTTTCTCTGCGTGATGGAAGATACTAATTTCCGGGAGCATATGTTAGAAATACTCTTTAATAATCGCGACTGCGACTTCACAACCAACTCGACTAGCGCACAAAGGAGTGTCCTGACAGAGGAACAGAGGAAGGCGTAGACTCATCACCTCTGTAACCTCATTTGGGTCCCTGATGATAGTGGAGCTAATTATAGACAACAAACATAAATACGAAATCAAAGGTGAAGTAAGCACTGGTAGAAGAACAAACCGATACTCGCTATCCGTTGTTAGTAGCTTTCCCGCCCGACCGCGTGCCGCCGCCGCCACCCGAACGCTTTTTGTTCGCCCTCGAGCTACGTTTGGCATTCTTCCTCTGCCTGCAAGCTTCGCAGAACCACGTTCCGTCTGGAGGCACCGTAAGGCCAATGCATGCAAGATGGAACTGCACAGTTGGTAAATACGCAGTATCTGGACAAATAGAGACGTAACGTACCCATTCTCTTTCACAATTCACGTCGTCACATGCGATCATTTCTCCATAGCTTATACCCTCACAGAAGCAATAGGTTCTGTCATCCCCTTCTCCATCACCTTCGCCAACTTCGGTGGCCGTGTCTCCTGCAGCATTACCGGCTTGGGTTTCACTTGGAGATACGAGTGGGAGGCTAGGGGTTAGGACGGTTGCGGAGCTTATTGATAGACCGGTGTGTGTATTCCGTGCGACAGGCATGCCTGGACCCTCCAGCTGCCCAAGAGGAGGGGCTCCCCAGTCATTGGCAAGTGTGTGAGCACCAGGCAAATCATAAGAATGTAAACCATTTGATCCGTAAGGTATAGGTAAAGAAGGATGAGAGACTGATGATGAAGGTGGTGCGGGGAAGATGTCGCGTCGTCCATTGACAGATCCATTGACGTGCGGCTCGTCATAGGTGTTAGGATTTGGCTTGGAACGCCTACTGGAGGGGTTGGTAGTGCGACTCGATGAGCCCCCAGCTCTCGAGGTCCCTGTATAGGCTTGAGGCACTGGTGCTACAGTGTGCGAGATGACAGAAAGAACAGATTCTGTGGGAGAGGCAGCGCGTTCTTGTCTAAAGCACCACATCAATATGATGAATACATATACTGGAAAATGGCTTACTTTCGTGAACGAGCACCATTTCGAGATCGCTGCACAATGATATCGCCAGTCCTCTCCTTGCGAGGAGACTTCCCGCCCCCGACATCCACATCATCTTCTCTCATGGCTCGTTTTCGTTTGGAAGGGCTGGCTTCATGATTTGCGGTATTCATGATTGATCCGTAGTTGCCTCTTCTACGACGCGAGTTATCGATGGTGGGCATATATGACCGAACAGCGACATGGGGATAAGTTGTCTTGCGGTTCAATGCAGACACATCGAATGATGGCAAGAGAGTAAGGAGCGTTCTCATATGTGAAGTATGGCTTTTGAGGTTGTCAGCGGCTTGACATGCTACACGAATCTTGTCTTCGCCGCCCAGTTTCAAACGCGCAGCTTCCTCTGCTATATCTGTGAGCAGGAAAAGACGGTCCTGCTTTGCTACCGTGCCATCTTCGACCATCTTTGTCAGATTTTGTATTTTTGCGGTGATGGATGTCATAGACGATGACAAAACTGCATCGAGTTCACGGAGGTCTGCAAAGTTACGAGAGAGGTCGAGTGGGAGGGAGTCAAGAGTGTGAGTGTACTCTGAAAGTAATGAGAGCGCGTATACGTCGGTGACATTGCTTTCTTGTGATATTGGTGCTCTCGAGGGTGCCATGATGAACGTCGCTGCCTCTAGAAGTGAATACTCCTTTGAAGAAGGTTGCGCGAAGTAGTACCAAGCGATCTGCTCTGCGTTGACTAGCGGCGTTTGCCGGTCCGGTGTTCAAAATCCGCTAAATTTGAATCTGAGTCGCCGGGGTCAGACCTGGTCAGACAATCGACGATCGTGTCACAGCCTGCGCACATTCGTCTTGCACTATTGTCTTCATCTGTTAACTTTTGAACGATAGGGGAGGAATAAATGCATAGCATCCAGGGTGAAACAATAGAGATACAATATGTGCGTTCTATGCGTACGAGATATCATGACGGACACAGGGATTTGATAGAGAAGTAAGTGTTGTAATCGAACAAAGTGGTTATGAAGATGACCTGCACCCCTCATTCAGTACGTATTTTTTGCGCGCTCCGCCTCTCATCTCCCTAGCCATAAAACAATAACCGTTCCGATCCAGTACTATCGATACAATGGGTTTGGGTACACGTGACTCCTTCGTGATGGATACAGTTGACGATCATGACGATGAGAAAGTATCACTTTCTGTAGAACTTCATTAACGGGTTTGAGCTTCCGCCGTTACTCTGGCTGCGCGGGCTATTTGATTGGAAGCCCATGGCTGAGCCCAGCGCCGAGTACATGGCGTGCGAGTCACGCGGGTTCCCCTGCATAGCGGAGAATGCATGTGGGGAAGATGGTGCAGTGGGGAAGAAGCCGAAGGTAGGTGATCTTTGGGAGTGGTGTAGTTGTTATAGTGAGACATTATTATGTGCGTGAATTGGTGAAGATGTGATATTATAGCACGCAAAGAAAGATGTGATGATTGGTCTGCCCGTGACGACGTTCGTAAGGGGATGGTTATGCGTGCTAGAACTGGTCTGCAAATATGTCGCGATGATGGTAGAGCCTCGGTAGACGTCAACCGTTGGTTTGTTCAAGGACGTGTGCGTCAAACAAGGGTTGCTTGAACAGCGGAAGAAGTGGTCTTCTTGGAAGGTTGTTAGGCTACTGGACCAAACTGGTCGTGTTGATAGAAGTAGGAACTCACGCATAGCTATTATATACCAAAGGAGGGATGTTGAAGGAGAAGGAGGCCCATACCTGGACTGATGCAAAGAGTACAAGGTAGCAACCGAAATAGGCATTTGTCCCCATTCGGAAGAAACCAACAAGTCTCATGTCATCGTATGGGAGGGAAATAATTCAGGAACTGCCTATCGTGGCACAAAGGAATCGATCCATCCAGTATTAAGTCACCAGGACCCCAGTCCAGACATTGGTGAGGCATGTCCTCACGCACCAAACGCTAAATTTTCATGCAGACTTGATTGGCGCGGAGCATATCAGCTCGACCTCACTCCCCCCGATCTGGTTTAGCCGCATCCTCTGTTTGCCGTATAGACTCAGTGGGAGAGGAGTGCAACGGTTTCATAAATCTGGTTGGTTAGTACGCTTCAATAGTAAGCTCATTGGCTCCGCAACAGATCTTTCCAGCGCTTCCACCCTGGGCTTTGTTGATAACTGGAGCCGATATCTTATTGATACTTGCCCTCGGCAACCCTCTTCATGACAGACTAGTGAAAATCTCAGAATAGATCATCGCTGCATTTGTAAGCTCCTAATTACTTGCGTACTCTATAGCATTTCAATGGCGCAAATCTAGGTGTTCGTTGTACTCGTCTGCATTGCAATCATTAATGGCGAAGATCGATATCGTCTGTGGTCAAGCCTTTAGTGGATTTGTTCCTTCTCAAGCACTCTTTGTTAACAGCGCGCTTTATACATGTATGTGGGCTGTATGTGATGGAATGCAAGGTTGCGAACAGGCGCTGACATGAATGTATTGTAGCTGTTAGAATCCTAGGCGCTACTGTCATGCTCCAATCTATTCTTGGGTTCACATATCGCAATTCAAGATAGGCTATCCAAAAAATCACTTACACGGGCCCCCACCTCTTCGCTTCCCGACAAGGTTCGAGAACGAGTCGCCGATCAGTGCGCACTGCGCAACAAGCACCTACGATACTTGGGACAAGCGCTCTGGCAAAATTACCGATCCTCGTTTATGGTTGAGTTAAAAGAATTGAATGCCCATCCGAGGTCTCGTGAACACCGAGATTCATAGAGTTCGTGCAACCTTATCTGTACCATGGCATGTAATCAGCGGTCTGCTATACTTCGCCTTCATAATCATGCCCTGTAAGCTTCTAACACTTCTTGCTACCATTGAGGCTATAACCCGTTTGAAGTATTCTTAGCCTAGCCAACGTCGTCTTTTACTACAGATCAGGGGCTATGGCTGTGAATCTCCTACTAGCTTGTTCGATGCGCATACTCTCATCAAAGACAGGATTGGCAAAGGCACGTCATCCTTCATATTCTGCAGTTTTTTAAATCCTTCGCAATAGCCGTTGGCATCGGGCAAAAGAATTCTTGGGCCGCGAGAGTATCGTTTCACTCGACAACTTAGAAGCTCCCTCTTTCCCTGCGGTCAAATCAGTACATTCCAAATTTCTGACCTGGAAATACTCCGTGGACATTAGCAGTGGGAAGCTCAAGACGTCGCTTAGGTGCCTGATATGGCTTGTGATCGTGATGGCTAATTTATATGCCTGTAACTTTAGTTATGGGATAAGGTGGGTGGGCTTGGCGCCAACTCGTATAATAGCACTTCATTTATTGGGTGTTGTCAGAATGGCTCGCGCGCTCAGATCTGTAGATCTATATGTGGGTCGTACAGTGCACGTAATCCTCAGCACAAAAATTCTTTATTTATCCTACGAGTTATGGATTGGTGTGATTTTCGATATGGATGATTATCGTTTGTTGGCAGTGTGCCAGTTATTACAGTTAGTGTAGTACCAGACAGTACGCTCGAAGTGCGTGAGAAAGTTCTCGATAAACCCTAACCCTAGTCTAGGTGCAACACCAAAACGCGCACTACGCCTTCCAAGCCACTGACGAGTCACGTCGATATCGAATGGTTCAATCTGGGTACAATCAATTCACCAATCCTGGCTAAGATCTTTCCATTCAGAGCGTGCGTTATCGCGAATCCATCGTGCGGAGTTGGACCGTCTTCGATAAGAACCGCCCTGCTTACAAGATCGAGACCCTTCAATACTACCACTGGCAGCTCCCAGTCTTGCGACGGTGCCCAAACCAACAGTATGCCTAAAGCTCAGAAAACAGCATATTATGCCGTGCGCAAAGGACGTACGCCGGGGATCTACCCAACATGGTTAGTAGATTGTACGATACGTTCATCTTGTACTCAGCTTCCTTCCTGAAGGGAAGAATGCGAGGCCCAAGTGAAAAACTTTCATGGTGCTGTCTACAAGAAGCTCCCAACAGAGACAGAAGCCCTTGTATTTATGACCACAGAATTACATCCCAGTTCGCCTTCTTCAAGACTGCCCTCGTCTGCGGTATCGCCTGCTGCCATAAGTCCACCGCGGAGCGTGGCGGCAACATCGTCGAAATTCCGCCCTTCGGCTGCTATCGTTGCGAATGACAAAGAAGACGAGTCTGGCTACGACGTTGTCTATTCTGACGGTGCGTGTAAAGGAAACGGACAAGTTGGCTCGGTTGCGGGTGTGGGTGTGTGGTGGGGCTGGAACGATACCAGGTGAGAAATATTATCTGAGCGATGAACACATGACGCTCATCATTACTTCAGAAATATCGCCGAACGATGTCCTGGAGATCAAACAAATAATAGGGCGGAACTCATTGCAAGTTGTATCCATATGTTTGATAATATACTTTGCTTACTCTCGCACCGATTTTGCAGGCAATTGTTCGGGTATTGGAGACCGCACCATTCTCCCAGCGTCCGCTCATGATAAAGACAGACTCAAAGTATTCAATCCAATGTACGGCACGCTGATCTATGTGTTGGATTCTTCTTATCCTGTTGCAGGCTTTGAATCCTGGTTGCCAAGGTGGAATGCAAACGGCTTTCGAACGGCCAGCGGCCAATCCGTCAAGAACGCTGAACTGATCAGATACTTGGCGGCATTGCTATATGCCCGGGAAAGGGCAGGACCAAAAGTCATTTTCAAGCATGTCAGAGGTCATGTTGGAATCGAGGGCAACGAGTGCGCTGACCGATTAGCTAACGACGGTGCTCTAAAACCAGAGCTGCCTGAGCGGGATTGGGAGCAGCTAATCCGCGACTTAGAAAAGAAGCCAATACCATCGAAGACGATACCCGAGCCAGTCAAGGTAACTGGCAAGCTAGTCGCATAGTATGACGTAGCTAAGCCAATTCCACTGAAGTCGGACACATCTATGTCGCGACAGGCCACTAGTGGCTCTTCTAGCAGGCTTCCCCAGCCATCCATAGCAACGCGTGTTGCATTTCCTCCAAGGGAACCTACACCCAACCAGGGTCCATCAGTCAAGCAGAATTAGACGTCAGTAATCACAATTTCAGGCTTTCATTGTGCTCACAAGCAATAACGTGTTCAGGCATATGCAAGCTGCCTTCTCGAGACAGATGACTTGGAATCAGATTTTTAGGCTCTTAACCTCGGAGCTCCTCGGTGTTTGTCTTATGCCCGTGACACGAGATTAGTTCTATGTAGAACTTCTACTACCGCCTGACCATAATTTAGACATGTGATATACTACCCGTGTGTAGTCATTGGTCTACGAATAAACATATTCTCGAGGACGTTGACCGCTACAGTACACGAAACTTCTGAGAGCCAATAGCTGGCCCTTCAAATACAATGAACGTGAGACCGGTTTCTGAGAGGGCCGACCACAAGGCCCATGGTTCATATAGGAGCTTTGTACGAATCGGCGACTCACCTCTTCAACTGCATTCTCG